TATGCATCCATGGTATGGCCACCTATAACATGGCCAATGTTGCTGCAATAGTTATATCTGTGATTAAGTTAGTGTTCCCCAATGGAAATGCCTGGGTTAAACCACCAAAATCTGGGGTGCAAGGAGTCTAAATGAATTCAAATCAATGCAAGACCTCCTTTACCAAAAATTCTTCACATTCAATACGGACAGCTCACCAGTTCCACTCGCACCCCCTCCCCCACCTTGATGGATTACTCAAGGCATGCCAACTCTTCTATTGGTTCCATGTTTTCACTTATTTGCTTATTAACCCTGATCTTCCCATTTCCCCGCTGTTCTTTTAGCTTTAACAATTTTCAGCGCATTATATGCATTCTTCTTGTTGTAGCCAACTAAGGTTATTTTGTAGAATTTAGATCCACTTAAAAAAAAAAAAAAAAAAAACTTTCCTTAAGCAGGTTCAGAAGTTTAATTGCATTCATTAAAAAGATTTTGATACAGTAAAATAAAAAATAAAACAGCTTTCTGCTAGCAGGAAGGCAAGTAACCAAAAAAGGCCATCTTTGAGATGGCTGAAAATGAAGATGATAATGTCTTCTCCCCAAATTGCATTGGAACAGGACCACAAGATATAGGAGTTAAATTAGGCCATTTGGCCCTTCGAATCTGCTCCACCATTTGACCACGGTTGGTATGTTTCTGAACAACATTCTCCTGCCTTCTCCTCATAACCTTTGATTGATTCCCTTATTAAGAAGCTGTCTTAAAGATACCCAATGACTTAGTCTCCACAGCCTTTTGCTGCAATGAGGTTTACAGATTAACTACCATCTGGCTAAAGAAATTCCTCCTCACCTCAGTTCTAAAGGGTCATCCTTTCATTCAGAGGCTGTGTATTCAGCTCCTAGCCTCTCCTTCATGGCCACTCTGTCCAGGCCTCTCAGTATTCAGAGAGTTTCAATCTCAATGCAAGACCCCCTCTACCAAAAGGTTCTTCGCATTCAACATGGATACCTTTCCAGCTTTGCCCCCACTTCTACCCTTGAACCCAGAATCCTCACCTGCTCCTCATACAACAAGTCCTTCATTCCTGGGATCATTCTCAAACCTCCTTTGAAACCCCTCCTTAGCCAGCATATCCTTCCTTAGATAGAGCTGAAATGTGCTCACAATATTTCAAATAATGTTTTGACCAGAACCTTAAAACAGCCTCAACCGTACTTCTCTGCTCTAGTTTTTTAGCCCTCTTGAAATGAATGCTAGTACTGTACTTGCCTCCCTAATACTGATTGAGCGTGCATGTTAACCTTGAGTCCTAAAGTAGGAATCCCAAGACCCTTTGCGCTTCAGATTTCTGAAGCCTTTCCCCATTTAGGAAGTCGTCTATACCTCTATTCTTCCCACCAAAGTGCATAACCTCACTTTCCCACATTGTATTCCATCTGCTACTGCTTTGCCCACTCTCCTAGCCTGTCCAAGTTCTTCTGCAGCCTCCCCTGCTTCCTCAATACACATCTCCTCCACCTATCTTTGTCATCTGCAAACTTAGCAACAATGCCTTCAATTCCTTCATCTACATCATTAATGTATAACATGAATAGTTGTGGTCCCAATACTGACCATTGCAGAATTCCATTAGTCACCAGCTGCCATCCTGAAAAAGACTCCCTTATTCCCATTCTTCTGCCAGTTAGCCAATCCTCTATCCATGCCATTACCTTGTCCCTAACACCATGGACTCTTAGCTTATTTAACAGTCTCCTACACATACGCTTGTTAGAGACCTTCTGGAAATCCAAATATATCATGTCCACTGACTGTCCTTTGTCTAACTTACTAAAAAGAATTCTAACAGCTTTGTCAGGCAACATGATCTAGAATACATTGCTGTGAAAGACAGTAGTAGCAGATTCAATTACAAGATTTGAGAAAATTCAATATAGTCATCAAGGAAAACTAAGAGGGAAAAAAGGAGAGGGTGCAAATTATTGGAAAGACCTTTCCAAGATCTAGCACAGGATCCTGTGCAAGTGCTCAACAAACCGAAGGGATAAGTAAATAGACAAGTTTCAAAATGGCAGATATCAGCTTGGCCGTTCCTACCAAAAGTAATGCAGATTGGCAAGCAAAAGACAATAAAAAAACCATCACATTTTTGTTCTTGATTCCAGTTTGAATTCTGCTTTCGCTGCAAGCAAGCTTCCACTCACTCACTTACTTGTTGGCCACACGAACAGCATCATAAGCACATCTGAGATCTTCCTCAGACATCTTATGTCCATTTTTGGGTAATCCAAAGAGGTCTGCCATTGTAGCCTGTGAACAGATAACCACAGAACACAGACGTTAAAGCTTCAGGATGCCAACCCCTTTCCCTTGCTAACAGAATCTTCAAGCAAGAAAAATGCATGCAACAATTGATTTTATCTTGCTTTCATCTTTAAAAATATCTCATTTCTACCTTTGTATTTGTATTTTAGCTAAATGACTATTATTTTTTAAACTCAGTAACATTTAAGAATAGCTGTCTAACAAATTAACCTCAATTGTGATTAAGATTCAGCTTTGATGCAGCAAATTTTTAAATTGGAACATTCAAAAAAGATAACCAGGGTTAAATGAGCTATATAAATTTGCAGCGCATGAACCATTGAGGAGATGCCTGGCACCGTCCTTATGACAACATGCAGTTTCACATCACCAGCCCTGAAGTTGTATGATGAAGTAGTGCAAGGAGTTGCCAAACAACAGCCACTTCCTCAGGCAAAGGATACAAGCTGAACAGTCAAATTTTCAAAAATCAGGAAAGTTTTCTACCAAAGAAATATTTCTACCAAATATATTGAGTTTGATTTTGAACTGCATGGGAAGTTAGAGAAACAAATCTACGTGCGACAGTCAAGTCTGAAATTGTTGGTCGGTCAACATCTTTGTTCTGCCATTAACAGGCTGCAAAATCAGTGTCCTTGAAAATATTATTTTCTGTCATAGCACAAGAGACCTATATGCTATCAGAAAAAGGAAATCATTGAAATGACAACTTCAGGTACACTTTGTTGGAGCACAATTTAAATCTACACTATACATGTTCCTCTACAAAGAGCAGTCTAAGCTATCCACAAGGTGATTGTAAGGGAACAGTGCCCAAAGTGCAAAAAAAAAGCAAAGACATAAAACATTAGCTCAATAGAAGGAAACTGAATGGCTTGCTTGTCATCAGCAACTTCCCCTTTCTCTCCTCTACATATCGCCACCACCCCCACCCGTTATCTTTTTTCTTTATTCATTCACTGGATGAGAGAGTCACTGTCTAAGCAGCATTTATTGTCCAGCGGGCAGTTAAATTAATCACATTGCTGTTGGCCTGGAGTCACATGTAGACCAGGCAAGGATGGCAGTTTCCTTCCCGAAAGGCCATTAGTGAACCAGGTGGGTTTTTCCAACAATTGGCAATGGATTCACAGTCATCGTTAGACTCTTCATTCCAGATATTTATTGAATTCAAATTCTACCATCTGCCGTGGCAGGATTTGAACTAGATCCCCAGAACATTATCTGGGTCTTTGGATTATCAGTCCAGTGATGATACCACTAAGCCATCACCTCCCCATCTGCAGTCAAAGCAACTGTGAACAAATCAAAAAAAAACTGTTAGGAATTCTGCAGAATTGTATGTGTTCTACATACTACTGACCTTATTTTTCATAGTATCAATCTCCTTTTCTGCCATAAGGAGCTGAGATTTTAGCCAAATCTGCTCCTCTTTCAGAATTCCAATTTCTTCATTGGCATTTTTGAGCTGCTTCAGACTGGAGTCAGCCTCTTTCTGCTTTTTGGTATCACTTGCAGTAGAATTATCAGCAAAGTCTTTCTTTAGCTGATCAAGTTCATTTTTCAATTTGTGGTTTTCATGCTCAAGCTCTTGATACTAGTAAACATGGAAATATTATCAGCTCATTGTTAACTTTGCAGTGAGCAATAAGGAATTTTCAGTGTGGCTGGAAAATGGGAGACCTTTGAAAATGAGATAATTAGAGTCCAGAGACAACATGTTCCTGTTAGTGAAAGGAAAAGGCTGGTAGGTGTAGGGAATGCTGGATGACTGGAGAAATTGAGGTTTTGGTCAAGAATAAGAAGGAAGCATGTATGTCAGGTATTGACAGCAGAAATAGAGTGATTCCCTAGACAAGTACAAGGGCAGGAGGAGTATACTTGATAAAAGGAAAATCAGGAGGATAAAAGA